CATTTTTAAAGAAACAAGTTTCTGTGTTCTTCTCTCTTGGAGAAAATATTCACCAGTGTACACATTTTTGTTTAATGATGATCATATTACTACATATTATATACACAGTCACACAAAAAAGATGGACACAGTCTAGATCTTCCTACTTGGTAAAATATTTTGTTCAGAAATCTGGCCACTGCAATTTCTTATGGAATGAGTTTTTGATGCAATGATGTCATATAATTATAATAGGTAAATAATTCCTTTTGCAAAAAACGATCTGACAGAATCTTTTTAATTTTAAATAAAATCATGTTTATATAAATGTATTTAAAAAAAGTTCCAGAAAGATATAGTGGTTTGTGACACCTAGGACTGTACTTCTATTCCACATACAATTGTGACTACTGGGCCGGACATTTTTTCAACATACAAAGATTACATTAAAGGCATGTGTTTTAATTTCCTTAGAAATCTTAAAGCCAGCTAGAAAAACTAGGTACTGGTAATGACAAATCAGTCTCGCTTACTAAAGTGTGCCATTCTCAGATTTTATATTAAGAAAACTGAATTGGACACTTCTGATAAGGTATGTGCCACTTTTAAATACTTTTTTATGATTTCCTGAATCACTTTCTTTGGGATTAATTTGACAAAATACCAAATGATTGCTTTCTATTATTAAAATGTTGAATTAGTTTTGCCATACTCATTTTACTAAGTCCAAATGCAAAGTTTAATGAAAAACCCTGCATTCATATTAAAGCAAAGCAAAAACATCAAGCTTGATTTAAATGCCTGAAACCACATGACTAAACAAAAGTTATAACAAATATTCCCGCTGCCAAAACCCCCCCCCCCCACTACTTTTTTAAAAAAAAAACCCTGCATTCATATTAAAAAAAAGCAAAAAAATCAAGCTTGATTTAAATGCCCAAAACCCCATAACTAAACAAAAATTATAACAAATATTCCCCCTGCCAAAACCCCCCCCCCCCCCATTATTTTTTAAAAATATTAAAAGATGCCTAATCTTTTTCTTTGTTGCTTTGAATGAACCTCTTAAAGTCACAGGTAGTGTAGGCAGGGAATATGGCCCGAAGGCAGTAGGTAGGACATCCTTCAGCTAGTATATTTGGTATGCTACACAATATATTCATTGTATGTAGCTGCATCTTTTGGCCACCACACTAGCAGTACCAGGGCTCCTCACTGTGCACCTTAAATTTAATAACTTTTATTTAAAAATGTACATATAGCCAAGCTCTATTATACTCGATAAGCAAATCATGCAGGCATCATACTGAACTTCATAATCTTTGAATTTGAACATAAACTGAATATTTTATTTCTGAGCAATTACTTTTGGATAGACATTTATTTCCACACAAAAAAAAAGTAAACCAAATATTCATTGCTACTTATGTCACAGATTTTGAAAGCATTTTCTGATTTCATATGGTGTCACTGTTTCCATATCCCACTCAAGTTTATAGTTTCCATCAAAGAATTACTTATCTTATAATTTGCACAGATATATTTCTAAGAGTAACTCGGAAATCAGTGCTTTCAAATTTGATGCTCTTTGTATGATTTTTTTGAAATCCAATTGAAGTTGAAGCTTTCTCTGGCACATCTTTTGTCAACTTAATTATACATGTGATACATGTAATTATACACTATGAATAAGCTGCATTAAGAAATAAACTGATGTGTGATACTTTCAAAGGGTGAGCTATTACCTTTTTAGGAATTAATTGTATCTCGATTGTCGTGTGAAATTTAATGCGCAGATGAAAAAAAAATTTTCATTGGCTGTAGTAAGGGTGTGAGGGCCATTAAGTATTTAAACCATATAATTTATTATAAATGCATTGCTGTGATGTAGCGGTTTGAAACAAATATTTTTACAGGTGTATGCGATTTAAATCATATTTGTAGTGCTTTTCTTCAACCTCAGCCTTGGTTTCCTGTAACTGTTGCAGAAAATTTGGGTGGGATAAGGAGTATTAACAATTATATAAGTAATCTCATGAGTGCATGATATAATTGTTAAATCATCTCCTCCCCCCCCCCCCCCCCCCCCCTTTTCAGATATGTGTTTTCAATATATTTAGACAATCTTGAGTATGTTACCTGGGAAACTAGCTCAACAAAATTATCCTGGATCAGATAGCAAGGGGGAAAAACAATATAAGAAGATGACATCAAATGTTTGGTCTATTTTTGTTTTCTCAGTAATGATGTTGGGGGGTAACATTACATTCCTGCATTACCACATGTCATGTTCTTGTGGTTCTGTTACGAACAATGCTGCTCTGTTGTATTTTAGCACCATGTGTTCATAATTATGTCAACTCTTTACCTTTTCTTTGGCTCCAAAGCTATGAATAATGAGCACTCAACATGCTAAAGCCCTGATACAATATTACAGCATGTGCAAGAATTTTAAAAAAAAAATGCATTTCACTTATTTTCTTTAAATAACATTTAAATAACAGTTAAATGTATATAACATTGTATTTCTTTGACAGTATTGTTGCTAATGGTGAGAATTAAACAGTGTTGTAAATATTTGTCTGCTTCATGTCATTGGTGTCAACTAGTGATTTGTCTTGTTGGATAAAAATGTTAAGTGACATTAGAAGTTTGCGGTCTCAACCATACTAACCATACTCTTAAAAAGTGATTATTTCTCAAATGGAAAAAGTTGTGAATTTCGTTATGCGGGATCGAAGTAGTATATGAAATTAATAATATACACTTGAACTGTATACAATTTAAAAAAAAAATTAAGAAGTTAGAAAGGGGACATAATCACAGGGTGACAACCTTTACGCTGTCCTCTAGGTGACCACTCACACTGTCCCTAATGTGAATACTCTCACCCTGTCCTCAAATTGACCACACTCATCCTGTCAAGTTGACCTATCTCAACCTGTCCTCAAGTTGACCACTCTCATCATGTCTTTACATTCGCAACATGTCCTCGTCTCTCAGCAAGGTTTCTTGTAAATATTTGATGCTAAAAAAACTGTTCCATTTTATAAAACATCTTTGATATGTTCTGGACAAATTATTTATTTCTATATAATTATAATCTAACCATTGGGATTGTGGCCAAGATGTCACTGACAGTATCAGGCTAATTTTTTTTGTACCGGTACATAAAATTTTAATTTCCTAATTGCATATGTTCAAATAATTTAACAAAAATTAATTATTTTTTTTTATTAGTAAGTAATTTTAATACAAATTAAATTGTGCTTCTAGATGAAAAAAGAGGACTCTCAAAATTTTCATCAAATCCGGTACCAACCTGAAGCCGGCTCGTAGGGGCTACGCCAATGTTAAGTGTTGTAATAATAAAAGTTAAATTACATCAAATATTGTAATTAGTTTAAATTATAAACTTGTATTAAGCGAACAGTACATATTCCATGACACTGACTGATTTTTGTGTGTAATATCAGAACCAAGTAAAATTGTTTTTAATAAGCGACAATTGTAGTCCATTGATTTTGTAGCTGTGATGGTGCTTGACAGACGACTGCTCTCCATTGATTTTAAGCAGTGATGGTGCTTGACGGCATGAAACGCCCAATATGCCTTCATCTGCTGAAACAGATTTGCTTTTCGAAGCCGGTGTTATAAAAATTAATTAAGTTTTTCAGAGAACACCATTAACATTCTTTGGCGTTTCAACGTGCACCTATAAATCCGGTGCACCCTTATTAACAACAGAGATATAAGCTCTGCTGTCTCATGTCAAACATTTAGCTTCCCAGTCATATTGACCTGCACAAAAACCTGCATATTTGGTTCTCAATGTCTCTGTAAAAGGACAGCATTTCTCTATATCAAATATTTTTTATTTAAATTAAAAAATTAATTATTTATCAATTATCATGAATTTGTGTAACTGTTATTTCTTTAAAAAATGACTTGCGGAACTTGAAGTTTCGATGGTTACCTCAGTACTCGGTAACTCTTACTATGAAACGAAATATTGATGGTGCATGTGTTACTAGTATATAATAGTAATAGTCTAATAGTATATAGAATAGTATGTAACACAAAAGTAAGTAAGAAGGTATAGAGCGGGGATGGACAGGGGCAAAAACGGACAAAAGCCATATTTCTGGAAAGACGGGCATAAAAAGAGGACATGTCCGGGGAAAACCCGTATGCATGATAACCTTAATTGTGCCTATATTTATTAAAACATATTTATAGGAATGATTTTAAATTTTTTTTCAAAGTGGCACTGAATGATCCATTGAAAATTCAAATTACTCATAGGAGTTCTATCTGTGGACACTGATTTCCATAAACTCAATCCAATTTTTAAATCTTGTCATGACAGTTTTCTCAATTATTTATTTTTATAACAATTCTATCATTCTCATGTTTAAGAAAAAATTCAATTTAATATCAACATGAATCAAGTTTGGTACGTTAATGATACCTGGTATTATATTAAGTTCAAATCATAATTAGTTCCCTTTGCTACAGAACGTCCTCTCACATGGCAATGTGTAAAGTAAGAATAATTAATTTATAAGGCATATTATTGCAGTTTCAGTTACACTTTTGCCAAAAGACCGAAATAATATTTTAAAACAATTTTTATTTAAAAACAACTTCAAATTCACTTTGTGTGCAGGGAATTTTTTTTAAAAAATAATGAAAAGAAAAAAAAAGGCAGGGCTACGTACCATGACGTATGTCATTGTAAATGAGTCAAATTCAAATGAATTTAATAATTAATATGAATGAGTATGAGTATGAGTATGAGCGAGCGGTGAGCAAATCGATTAGTTAATTTTCTGTATGTAAACGATTGCATTCTTATAAGTTAAGTAAATTCATGCCCATCATTACCTAATTTTTTTTAAAGGTTTAAAATCTAACAATGCTAAAAATGAATCATTGAAAGTAGAAACGAAACCAAAGAAAGACGTATTTTGGATTGTGCAGATTCTTTCATAAAATAAGCGGGATAAAAATACGAACCCGGAAGAAAATTGAGCTTTACTTTAAATGCTTTCATTAGTTTCGTATCGCTAATAATTATAGTTTTTATACTTATATGAATCTTGATGTCGAAGTATAACTAATACTTCTTTTTGTAAATTTAGATTAATTAATTTTCAATCCTTTATATAATTTTAATAACGATCCACTTTAGAGTGTCAAACTACTATAAAATTCTTATCAATAACACTAACTGACAACACAGGAAGACAAATCCAAAATGGCTGCGGATGAATGGAGGAACTGTGTAGAATGGTTGGTAAGATGTCAAATCCTACCACCAGACCACAAAGCAACAAAATCAGATGCTACGGCCTTTGATCTAGCTCAAGCTTTGAGAGATGGCGTTTTGTTGTGTCACCTTTTAAATACACTGCATCCTAACTGCATAGACATGAAAGATTTTAGTTCCCGTCCACAGATGTCACAGGTTTGAGTTTATGTTAAATTTGCAGTGCAGATGGGTTAATGTTTGACTAGTTGTGTAAATAGTACCGACATTGTTTACTTTAAACGGCTTTGAGGGACTCATCATGTGTCGCTTGTTTTTTATTTTGACTTTTATTGTGACAATGTTTTTAAATGTTAGGATAATTAGGCCCAAGGGTACCAGGCCCAAGTGTTCAGTGGTATATATAAATTATAAACTATTATTATAAACACAAATCAATCATAATCAATGGTTGAAAAGGAATTTGTAGTAATTATATTTTTTATATTAAGATAAGATACATTTACATATAATCAGGAGCATGTCATTCATAGGTAAAAGTAAAATTAAAATAATATTACATGGGACTGGTACGAATTTTTTTGCTTGGTTGGTATCATTGGCCTTCTACTTCTTATTTAAAAAGCCTACTTGTCAAAGAATTGAATGTTCACTTGACTCACAGTAAATTATGATGTAAATCAATTAACAATTGGGATTGATTACAATTTATTAGTGAACACTCACGTCTTTGGAAGCTTAGCTTTTTTGATGAGTAAAAGCATTATTATTGACATCTTCCATTTTGCTGTTCTGATCAAATCTAGGTAAATTATATGGTACACTTGGTAAACATTTACTCCATGCCTTGAATTTTGGAGTTTGCCTTTCCATTTAATCATACTCAGAAGAGCTCTGTGTACCATGTAATCCATAGGTCGCATTGGCATTCCCAAAACAACAATGTAGTTCTATACATTTAGTAACGAAATTCTTAATTCTAGCCCCTCCGTTTTATCATAGTTAGGCGAGGAGGTTAATTCGATCTTATCTTCTTAACTGTAACATCCTATTTTTGTTTTGAAGGAAGATTTGACCAAACCAACTATTCTAATTTTTGTCTCTACAAATTATTTCCCTTTCATCATAAGGGGGTCATCCATAAATGACGTCACACTATTTTTGTGCACCCCAAATTCTCCCCCATCATCAAAAAAATCTAGACGCACTCGTAATACATCAATGAATGCTTAACGTTATTTAAGTATGGGCCCTAAGTCTAGTTTTCGATTATATGTTACTTTCAGGCAGTGGTTCCTAGATTGCCTAGTTCTCTTAGGTAAACTGTCAATAAATGTGACATGTCTACTATGGATGAATGGATGGATAAAGCACTCTAGGTTTCAGCAGTTTACAGAAACTTTTGTTGAGGCGTATTTTAAATTTGAATGATGTTTATATTGGGAAAAAAAAAAAGAAATGTTTACTGCCTTATAATCGTTTATGTCTCTTGTAATTTTGAAAATAACTTGGCCTACATTTTTATTTCTTAAAAAAAAAAAAAAAAAAAAAAAGAATGATTGAACTTTTAACCATTATGGACAAATGATTATGATATTTTTTTAAAAACTCATTTTTTTAGTTCCTCTGTATGAAAAACATAAAAAAAAAAAAAAGAAATGTTTATTGCCTTATATTCGTTTTTTTCTTTTGTAATTTTGAAAAAAACTTGGCCTACATTTTTATTTCTTAAAAAAAAAAAAAAAAAAAAAAGAATGATTGAACTTTTAACCATTATGGACAAATGATTATGATATTTTTTTAAAAACTCATTTTTTTAGTTCCTCTGTATGAAAAACATAAGAACCTTTCTTCAAACTTGCACAAGTGTTTTTGGAATAGACCAACGAGATTTATTCAAGCCTAATGATTTATTTGATGTTAAAGATTTCAAAAAGGTATGGTTCTTTGCTTTCTGTATGTATTTGTGTGTTTGTGTATAACTATAAATAACATGCATATAGAGCTGTACTAATGGCTGCTGGTTAGAACCTTTGGAAGAGAGGTGGGGTAATTCCCTATATTATGTGCTAAAAAAGATAATCATGTCTTGTTTGTCTTATTTGCCGCATATATTTTCAAAATTTAAGTTATCTTTTTTTTTGTAGCGTAGTCTCTTCTATTTGGATAACCATAGGCAGGACTTAGTATGCTTTAATATAATAGCATATTGATATCATTGAAATTTACTTCATAGTCATTATACATGAAAAACTAAAATTACTAAAAATATATCACAATTGGCTTATTACAATAATTTTATCCTGGTCAAGCAGATGACCAGATGATACAAAATCTTGTATGAATTTTGTGTATTATTCATTTATTTTACATCTTCTAAGAACCTGCATTCTAAGGAAGACTATGATGAGAAATTAACATATTTATATAGCTTTAACTGACACTTGCATATTAAGAATTAAAAAAAAATATATATCATTATTTAAAGTTGTTGAAATAGATGCATGTTTCCTTTCATCAGGTGTTGGACACGCTATCACAGTTGTCCAAAAGTGAACTGTCACAAAGGAAATATAGGTAAAATTTTTATTACTTTTAAAGTCTCGTATTAAAAAATGATTTAAAAAAAAAAATTTGAAAATATAATCCAGAAAAGATGAGATATGTCATTAAACGAATCACTTTGTCATTGTTAAATTATGACTGTTTTATTGTTGGGCACCAAAGTAATTCCTCACACCACGTTATGCTTTTGCTTTTTTCCCCCCTCTTACTACTTATACAAATTATATTTTTTTGTTTTTCTATTTAAATTGGTTTGCTGGAAAGTTTGTGATCTTAACCTGAAAAAGTTAAAAAATGAGATTTTGTGAAGCTCTTAAAGACTTGGAGCTAGGAATCTTTACATTTACTGCAATTAGGAATCTTTACATTTACTGCAATGTCCAAAACTCTATTTTCACTGAAAACTTTTAAAGGGGTTTTCAAAACCACTTTGCCGCTCCTGACCAACGGGATGTTTACTACAATGATCTGGAAGCTTTGGCTACGTAAGTCCTTTGGCGGATGCATCTAGAGTTGTCTTGACTGAACTGTTGAAATTAACACTATTCCTGAGTTGTTTAGTTCTAAAGTGCAATGGATTTTCCATTTAACAATCCCATAATGGTGACTTGTTTTGACTTAACCCAACTAATCACTGCATGGTCTGTTGGATGGTTTTAGTTCAGTTGTCCATTGATTTACTGTTTCATTCAGTTGAACATTGATAGGATTATGTTGTATGTATAGTTATTTGACCTAAGTAATAAATGTTCAAATGGATAAAAAAAAAAACAGATAGAAAAACAACTGATTATTAACCTTTCTTGTTATTTGGTGTTTTTAAAAGATTTGTTCCCGGTTGCTGCAGCCAGGTATCCCCAGCAACAAGAGCCCGGGGCAATCACAACTTACATTAGCATAAACTTATTAGTTTTTAAGTCCTGAAAAGACCTTATGAAGACACAAATCCATCCATTTTAAAAATGTTCTCATGAACTCATTGGGTTATTTTTAAACATGATACTATAGTTCCCTCATTTTTGCAGGGGACATAGGGTGGATTTGTCAAAAGAATATATAAACTCCTCAGATCATTTATTTTGTGATTTTCTTAAATCAATGTTTCCATCCTTGAGAAATAATTATGTTGTATACAAGTAGATGAGCTTTGAGGATCTGTAAATAGACGCCAATCCCCACACACCACTCTCTAAAGTCATGATCGTTGTACGGATTATGTAATGCAGGATCATGTTTTATCTCATCAATAAAAGAAATGATAAGAACTTATTTGAATGGTTGGATCACTGGCTTGTGAATTCTCAGCAAACTTTTGATTTGTTTATGTTAGCCCCATTTAAAAAATCATATTCCTTCTGGTAATGCTGAATGCACGCGGGAGCTTTGAGAAAGATCGTATTACAATTTAATAAGCAAGAACTTCTCATGTGCTCTCCCTTGATTGGTGGTGGGCCATCCCCCTCACATACTCATATGCTCCCACCCTTTGCATCCTTTTGATTGAGGCTACATACTGCTGGGTGTCTATGTGGTCAAGTGTGTCAACACCAACGCCAGAACACCTTGACTGCAGACAAGCAAAACAACAGGATCATAGGTGGTAGGATCATCTAAGAGAAGGACATTTGTCTTGCAAACCTTGGTGGTAGGCTCATCTAAGAAAAGGACATTTTTCTTGCCAACCTTGGTGGTAGGCTCATCTAAGAGAAGGACCTTTGTCTTGCCAACTTTGGTGGTAGGCTCATCTAAGAGAAGGGCATTTGTCTTGTCAACCTTGGTGGTAGGCTCATCTAAGAGGAGGACATTTTTCTTGTCAACCTTGGTGGTAGTCTCACCTAAGAAAAGGACATTTGTCTTGCCATCCTTGGTGGTAGGCTCATCCAAGGGAAGGACATTTGTCTTGCCAACTTTGGTGGTGGGCTCATCTAAGAGGAGGACATTTGTCTTGTCAATCTTGGTGGTAGGCTCATCTAAGAGGACATTTTTCTTGCCAACCTTGGTGGTAGCCTTTTCCAAGGAAGGTAACCTCTGATTGCAAACTTAAATGTGCTTTGGGAGACAACCACAAAAGAAAAATCTGGAGATGGCGTCCCTAAGGGTATATGACAATGAATCAATGAAAATTATGGCAGCTTCTGGGAAGCTGTATCAAACTCTGGGTGTTCCCTTGGGTTCAGAAAATCTAATTGCTAATAAACCAAGCTAATTAAGCCTTGTTATTATTGGGCAATGATGTTTCATTGTGTTTTTTTTTTACCATTAGATAAAAGAAAGTAAAAATAAGATAATTATAGCCGGGCTCTGTAACTTTATTGATAACTCTTCAGAGTAATTCTAGTTTATCGATGACTCTGGGAGAGGAAAGAATATTTGTTTCAGCTGCGTGAAAGAGGCAGTGTGGCGATAAAATTACACTGGATGAATTGTATGTGTGGTTTGGGGGGGGGGGTTGCACTAAATTGATACTGTGCCTGTAATAACACTGTGATTAGGCCCTGCTTTTGAATATTACGTTTAATGGCTTCAAATATTTGTTTCAGCTGCGTGAAAGAGGCAGTGTGGCGATAAAATTACACTGGATGAATTGTATGTGTGGTTTGGGGGGGGGGGGTTGCACTAAATTGATACTGTGCCTGTAATAACACTGTGATTAGGCCCTGCTTTTGAATATCACGTTTAATGGCTTCCTGTATTCATTATATATTTCAAACCTTGTATCAATGGAGTGTTTAGTGAAGGAGAAAGGTTATATAGAAAAAGTGTTAAGTTATTTTCAATTCTGTTTATCCTAATCAATCCAAATCCAATTGTGAAACCATACTATTAATTCCCATTGCTGAGATACTGACCCGAAGAAATCTCTCACAAAAAAACAACAACAACCAAACAAACATTTTTATCCCTTTCTACCTTTAAAAACTGGGGACATCTAGGGCATGCCATTCTTGTAGTTACTCGTTAGTTTCTGGTTAATTGTATGTGTCATGTGTTCATTTGCCTTCCTAATATTGCAACCAATTACTACCAGCCATTAAAGATACCAAGTTGTGTGTTCCTACCACTGGCCCGTACCACTATTCTGGAGTCCCAGAAACACCTAATGAGATAATGACTGGCCTGTTTATGAAGGAATGTTGTGAGTCAATTAACTCATTAGGCAGGCCATTTCACAAAGCCATGACTGGTTGGATAGGGCATTGAGCATGCAATGGTGTTTGTGGATAACTTGTAGATTTATTTCCCAGCTGCTTTCTATCATTTTTTCCTTGACTTTTGTGTCTGGTCTGATCTTTGTTCCAGCCCTAAGATAAAACTACCCAGGACCTTGTGTAAACGACCTGTTATATTCTCACGTGTCAACCAGCCTGTCATATTGTCATATGTGAACCAGCCTGTCATATTGTTACATGTGAACCAGCCTGTCATATTGTCACATGTGAACCAGGCTGGCATATTGTCACATGTCAACCAGCCTGTCATAATGTCACATGTCAACCAGGCTGGCATATTGTCACATGTGAACCAGGCTGTCATATTGATGTGAACCATCTTGTAATATAGTCCCATGTAAAACTGCTGTGTTCTGATGGCTTTTTATATTAACATGCTGTATCCTTTTGTTTAAGCTCTATTACTTACATTTTTTCTACTCTTGATTGAAACATTATCTTTATTGACTTATCCTTTGTACCAACCGTAACTTGATATGTCTTGTACTCTCTCCATTCAAGTTTGGATGGTATAGGGCAGGCTTGCACAACTCAAAATGTAAGGCGGGCCGCAATACTTTATGGAAAAACTTGTGCGGGCTGAAAGAAAAGAGGAGGGGGGGGAGCTATTAAAAAAATACTAATAAAAATAATAAATATTTTGTTAATTCGTGGGCGCAAAGTGAGTGCTGCCGGGTCACATGTGGCCGGCGGGCCGTATGTTGTGCAGGCCTGGTATAGGGTATGTGAACATGGTGTAGTTTCTTCTGTACTTGAGCCATTTTCTGATTTGACTGATTGCAATTAATTATCTTGTGTCTATTGTTTGTCCCGGATTTAGTGGCTTCCCACCAGAGTCTAGTCCAGGAGAGCATGATGATGGAGATATATATGGCAACCTTCAGGACCTAGCTTCGTGAGTACTTTTCTTACCCCTTCAAACAAACAACACATATTGTCATATATGTAAATAGAAACTACTGCTACATTCCAAGATTTCTGTTGTTCACTACATGATATTCTATTTTTATGTTTCATAATAATCCTAGACATTATATATTTCTTCATTCTTTGCTCTTTTATTTTTGCGTTAGTCATTGAAATCGTTCGCATAGCACAAAAATCTCTATATATAATTCGCCAGCAAAGGTTAAACACCAACACACACCACGCAGGCTATTTATAGATACGCCAGAGTGTGGTTCAATAATGAGTTCACTAGTGCGCAAAATATAATTCCCGATAACTACGCTATATATGATATATATATTTTTTTAATAACGCAATTGCGTTTGGTGCATAATATTTTCTTTTCGGAAATGAAATCGTCTCAATTTAAGTATTGTGTAAAAATATTAGGTTTAAAAGTGGTTGGGACATGAGAATATTAATATAGTTCATGGGCATGAAATAAAAAGTGTGTAGTGACGTATCATGGGGAAGGGGTGTAGCAAATATTGGGATTCTTAAATGTGTGTTACTTGAGTTCATGTTTTGTCAAGTAACTTTACTAGATGTGAAGTTTAGGCGGCAACTGTTTGGCGGGCTCTATCTAGTGATTTATATTCATGGGACATTTTTGGATTGTGTAACTAATAGGAGTGACCAATGGCCTGTGGATTAACTACCTGACCAGCAAGACCGCTTAGTTAGTTTAACACTTGTTGAAGAGTTTAATACGGGGACAGTTGATCAGCTTAATTTGTTGAAACCCAATAAAATGTCTGTGAAAAAATGTTGATAAAAAAAAAAGTGAATACAAATTGATAAAGTAATATGATGTCATGTCACCATAGATATTTGTTGCAATAACCAAAGAAAAGTAAAGAGTTTAAGTTTTAACAGTTCCAGAAGAAATGGGGGACCTAAGATTTATAATTTAATGAGCAATTTATTGTATCAAAGATTTATAATTTAATGAGCGTTTCACCAGGTTTTACTTTGTACCTTCTAATTTGGGACTCGTGCTTTGGTTACCCGGCTCTAAACACTGGTCTGTAAACTCCATTCAAACTCCATTGTTTTGAAAGGTCATTTACGGCTCTGGTTTTTTGCCACTTAGGCCAGCGGCTGTAGCAACTTGTACCACCTAAACAAGCTGACATGATATGGAGCTCCTGTAACCCAATACACTGGGAGCTCCTTGTGAACCCTCACAGTTGAAGTTACTTGTACTGTACAAACCAAACAAACATGGTGGGTATGTAGTGTAACCAAATACACTAGGAGCTCCTTGTGAACCCTCACAGTTGAAGTTACTTGTACTGTACAAACCAAACAAACATGGTGGGTATGTAGTGTAACCCAATACACTAGGAGCTCCTTGTGAACCCTCACAGTTGAAGTTACTTGTACTGTACAAACCAAACAAACATGGTGGGTATGTAGTGTAACCCAATACACTAGGAGCTCCTTGTGAACCCTCACAGTTGAAGTTACTTGTACTGTACAAACCAAACAAACATGGTGGGTATGTATTGTAACCAAATACACTGGCAGAACGCTGTGAACTCTCAGCTCAAATAATTGCCTCCTTCATGTGTTTGGCATGGCTTAGGTTGTCTCCCTGTTCATATTAAACCAGGATGTAATGGTTCCTCTCTTCTCAGTTTTGATACAATAATAGACTTCCTTGATTTCTGTGTGAACACTTAAGATAGTACTTCCACACAGTTTCAGTTTGTTAATGTACTTCCACATAGTCTCAGTTTGTTAACATACTTCCACGTAACGTCGATTGATTGTTATACATCGTTGTATCAGTAAACCCATTCACTTAAAGTGGTGTGGCCCCACCCAGCAGAGATCAAAGCACCTTCTAGTCTCTCATGTGCCCTTTTGTTAACATGATGAAATCAAGCTAAAATAACGGGCAGTGTGTAAATGAAGATGCGTACGTTTAATAAAATATTGTGTTGCAATGATACCAGCCTCACATCTCCCGCACATCATCAAACCTTGTCATCCTCTAGTTATGTAGCACACTGCCTTGTTTCACGACTTTCTAGTAACTTTAAAACCACTTCCTCATTGGTTTGTCAGCAGAGAATAAATAGGATCATTGGGAGGTGTGGCATCCCCTGTATTAATGGAAATAATTTCCCACCCTTTCGGGATCGGGGAGATAATGCAGTTTCCTAGTTGCGTGACTGAAAGTTTATTACAGATTTTCTTATTAAACTGATCTGCTCTCAGAACCCAAGTTCAAGGGCAGGCAATTCTGATTAAAAAGTGAGCAGTAAAGGTGACCCCAACCCTTCACCCTGCACAATTTAAATATTGAATTTAACAAAAAACTAACCCTTACCAGTAGAAAAGGGAATTAAAATGCCACAAAGGAAAAGACCCCCTCCCCCCTTTTTTTTTGTCCTTGTCTCCCTTGGCATTAGTTGGAAGGTGGGTCTGGGCGGATGATAGTTCCAGGTAATACACACCTGCTTCAGCTCAGCAGCCCAAGTTTGTTGACAGTGACAGTTAAGTTGTGGGGAGCCTAAACAGGTGTCACTTCCTTGTTACTGAATATACCCAGTTTAACAATGGGCCCACTGAGCAAGGTCTATGACATTGGGGTTCCAGGTGATTGGTCAGCAACCAATGGAAGCAATAGCTTTGTTACAGAGTTGTTACATGTCGCTAACTATTGACTCTCGTCTTTCTACTCTTTCTTTAAGTATGGACAAAAACAAAACAACCAATGGAAGCAGTAGCTTTGTTACAGAGTTGTTACATGTCGCTAACTATTGACTCTCGTCTTTCTACTCTTTCTTTAAGTATGGACAAAAACAAAACAACCAATGGAAGCAGTAGCTTTGTTACAGAGTTGTTACATGTCGCTAATTATTGACTCTCATCTTTCTACTCTTTCTTTAAGTATGGACAAAAACAAAACAACCAATGGAAGCAGTAGCTTTGTTACAGAGTTGTTACATGTCGCTAATTATTGACTCTCATCTTTCTACTCTTTCTTTAAGCATGGACAAAAACAAAACAACCAATGGAAGCAGTAGCTTTGTTACAGAGTTGTTACATGTCACTAACTATTGACTCTCGTCTTTCTACTCTTTCTTTAAGTATGGACAAAAACAAAACAACCAATGGAAGCAGTAGCTTTGTTACAGAGTTGTTACATGTCACTAACTATTGACTCTCGTCTTTCTACTCTTTCTTTAAGTATGGACAAAAACAAAACAACCAATGGAAGAAATAGCTTTGTTACAGAGTTGTTACATGTCGCTAACTATTGACTCTCATCTTTCTACTCTTTCTTTAAGTATGGACAAAAACAAAACAACCAATGGAAGCAGTAGCTTTGTTACAGAGTTGTTACATGTCGCTAATTATTGACTCTCATCTTTCTACTCTTTCTTTAAGTATGGACAAAAACAAAACAACCAATGGAAGCAGTAGCTTTGTTACAGAGTTGTTACATGTCGCTAATTATTGACTCTCATCTTTCTACTCTTTCTTTAAGTATGGACAAAAACAAAACAACCAATGGAAGCAGTAGCTTTGTTACAGAGTTGTTACATGTCGCTAATTATTGACTCTCATCTTTCTACTCTTTCTTTAAGTATGGACAAAAACAAAACAACCAATGGAAGCAGTAGCTTTGTTACAGAGTTGTTACATGTCGCTAACTATTGACTCTCATCTTTCTACTCTTTCTTTAAGTATGGACAAAAACAAAACAACCAATGGAAGCAGTAGCTTTGTTACAGAGTTGTTACATGTCACTAATTATTGACTCTCATCTTTCTACTCTTTCTTTAAGTATGGACAAAAACAAAACAACCAATGGAAGCAGTAGCTTTGTTACAGAGTTGTTACATGTCGCTAATTATTGACTCTCATCTTTCTACTCTTTCTTTAAGTATGGACAAAAACAAAACAACCAATGGAAGCAGTAGCTTTGTTACAGAGTTGTTACATGTCGCTAATTATTGACTCTCATCTTTCTACTCTTTCTTTAAGTATGGACAAAAACAAAACAACCAATGGAAGCAGTAGCTTTGTTACAGAGTTGTTACATGTCGCTAATTATTGACTCTCATCTTTCTACTCTTTCTTTAAGTATGGACAAAAACAAAACAACCAATGGAAGCAGTAGCTTTGTTACAGAGTTGTTACATGTCGCTAATTATTGACTCTCATCTTTCTACTCTTTCTTTAAGTATGGACAAAAACAAAACAACCAATGGAAGCAGTAGCTTTGTTACAGAGTTGTTACATGTCGCTAATTATTGACTCTCATCTTTCTACTCTTTCTTTAAGTATGGACAAAAACAAAACAACCAATGGAAGCAGTAGCTTTGTTACAGAGTTGTTACATGTCACTAACTATTGACTCTCGTCTTTCTACTCTTTCTTTAAGTATGGACAAAAACAAAACAACCAATGGAAGAAATAGCATTGTTACAGAGTTGTTACATGTCGCTAACTATTGACTCTCATCTTTCTACTCTTTCTTTAAGTATGGACACAAAAACAACAAACAACCAATCTACAAATGTTCTTCTCCACAAACCGTGTCTTACCAAATCTGGTGGATGAGTGTCAGATGGCCCACATTTAGAGTTGGTTTCAGTTACTTATTTAGCTTTGATCGTTTGCCATGCTTTTAAGTTGACTTAATGACCTTTGACCCCATTCCTGAGCCAAGGTTGCAGAAAAGCATGAATTACTTCCTCGTTACCGAATGTCATGACAGCATAATGCTCCACTGGTTCTCAAACATTAGTTCATAAAGGATCAAATGGTTCTCAAATGTCAGTACAAAGTGGGTCCTAAGGTTCTCAAAAGGCAGTACTTTATACTCTCACTCTTTCTAAAATGTCACTACATTATCAATCCCTATAGATATTCCAGATTGAGCCTATGAACATGAGGTGACATATTTAAAGATCAAAGTCCATGAATATAGTAAAGTGTATATTTAACACAGTGTACACTATGATAATGAGGTGACAGATTTAAAGATCAGACCTGTTTACCCCCAAACTCTTAAAATCGTACAATATCACCACAAAATTGTTCAATACATTATCTTAATAGTAAAAAAAACACACAGTGTATATAATGCATACACCTCAAAATCGTACATTGCACGCCAAAATCGTAAGAGTAAACAGGTCTTTGAATATAGTAAAGTGTATATTTAACACAGTGTACACTATGATGATGAGGTGACATATTTAAAGATCAAAGTCCATGAATATAGTAAAGTGTCAAGAAGACAGAGCCATTTTGGATTGTCTGTGTCAAGAAGACATAGTCGTTTGGACTGTCTGTGTCAAGAAGACAGAGCAATTTTGGACTGTCTGTCAAGAAGACAGAGCCATTTTGGACTGTCTGTGTCAAGAAGACATAGTCGTTTGGGCTGTCTGTGTCAGAAGACATAGTTGTTTGGGCTGTCTGTGTCAAGAAGACAGAGCAATTTTGGACTGTCTGTGTCAAGAAGACAGAGTCGTTTGGACTGTCTGTCAAGAAGACAGAGCCATTTTGGACTGTCTGTGTCAAGAAGACATAGTCGTTTGGGCTGTCTGTGTCGGAAGACATAGTTGTTTGGGCTGTCTGTGTGAAGAAGACAGAGCAATTTTGGACTGTCTGTGTCAAGAAGACAGAGCCATTTTGGACTGTCTGTGTCAAGAAGACAGAGTCATTTGGACTGTCTGTGTCAAGAAGACAGAGTTGGTTTGGACTGTCCTGTGTCAAGAAGACAGAGCCATTTGGGCTGGCTGTGTCAAGAAGACAGAGTCGGTTTGGACTGTCCTGTGTCAAGAAGACAGAGTCGGTTTGGACTGTCCTGTGTCAAGAAGACAGAGTCGGTTTGGAATGTCTGTGTCAAGAAGACAGAGCCATTTTGGACTGTCTGTGTCAAAAAGACAACCCTTTTCACAAGCCCTGCACTTACTTTGCAAAAAAAGATATAAAAAATAAAATTATTACTTTACAAATATAAAACAATATATATTCTTGTAGGGCATTGAACGAAATTATACAATCTTTGTGAATTAAGCTGCAATCTCAAAATTTGTGCAAATTAGATATCCTTATTTGCATAATTTATGCATGCATTTTTTATACTTATAATAAACATGTATTACTTGCAGAAATTTGTTTAATTTTCTGATTGTTGAAGATTCAGCGTGGAATGACTGCATTAAATATTTCCACTGGGGATGCTTATACCTTTGGCATATTTCAAGGTCAAATATTTTTTAAGTGTTTATATGAGTCACTAGGTACAAAAAAAAATTGATATAAATGAATGAACACTGTAAACCATCAATGGAAGCCACCATCAAAATGGTGAGATGAGTAAGAAGTAAGAGAAACAAAGACCAGCCAGCCAATCTCAAGGCTTTTATTATTGGGCAGATGGATCTGCCTTTCGTCTTTTTTGCCATTCGACTAACCCCAAGCAGATAGATCATCAGAGTCGTCTCAAGATGGTTAATATATATCTGCTTTTTAAGAAATAATCAGGAAATGATATAATCCTGTTAATTATACAGCTCTCTAATTGAAAGCATACCCCAAAATATTTATAGCCAAAAAAAAAATTGTTAAAAAGTCATGTCATTAATTTTTTAATATTCGCAGACTACATGCTATTTTACGAAAACCATTCAGAGCACATTGAAGGACTTTTTAATATTTGTGGGACCAAATAACTTGAACTGTAGATCGCAAGATGCTTGTGTCTGCAGAGACACAGGAGCAAGAAAGTCTTTATAGAGACTGTCCTAATGTTTGGTTGTTTGGGGGATATGAATAGGACAGACAGTCTTTTGGGGACACATTGAACAGTTCATTACAATCCTTTTTTTTTTACAAAGGAAAGAGTTTGGCAGATTGTTATTCCTATTTCAAATCTAATTGATCACTAATTAAGTCGATACTGTCACCAAGGGAGTTCTTTGAGGGCTGATTTCTAAGCTATAGAATAGAAAGACTTACGATGCTTGTGTTCTTCTCCTTCTATAGTTTAAGTTGCTACATTTGTAAAATTTTGTCTTGGTTAAACTATGCATTTATTTAGGCGCTGAAAATGAACAATAAAATTTTAAAAAAACCTTTGTAGTTATTTGCGTCAATAAAAGATTCTTATCTTATCTTGTCTTATAATAGACAAAAAAATCATCTTGCATGATTTTTTATGTTTATGAAAAGGGATATTTGATTCAGACAAGCCCCATATCTTCTGTAATGTAAGGACTGAAGGAAGATTCTGTGAATTCCTTTCTGTTGTTGTTGAGGCCAGTCTGCTAATGATGTCTGGTTGTTGTTGATAGTATCCGTCTGTTTGGTGTTGATACAGTCTGCCGATGATGTCTGGCTGTTGTTGAGAGTATCTGTCTGTTTGCTGTTGATGATGATGTCTGGTTGCTGTTGTTAGTATCTGTCTGCTTGCTGTTGTTGATAGTATCTGTCTGTTTGCTTTTGTTGATTAGTATCTGTCTGTTATCTGTCTGTTTGCTTTTGTTGATAGTATCTGTCTGTTTGCTGTTGCAGAGAAATTGACCTCGAGGACCAAGAGGACATCTATGACACAGTTTACCAGGAGGATGAGGAGAAGATTTATGAAGACCTTCTTAGGGGCAGCAAGAAAGTCACAGCGGTGAGCAGTGCTTTTGTGTCTTAAAAGATTTGCTCCCTTTTCCAAGTGTCTTTTCAGGGGCACCATTATACTTATAAACTATTGACCGTTTTCTAGGGTCTGTCTGGATAAAGCATTAGGCTGTATATCTGTGAACTATTAATGCATTCTAGCTACCCTTCTATTTCAACACTGGTGGAGGATGTTGTCAATATTAAATAGTTAGATATGTGTATATCTTTCTGAGCAAAGCTTTTTCTGGGTGGTTACGGTGTATCTTTAAATGTGCTGTCCCAATATTCTTAGGAATGTGTACTAATGACCTTTGTGTGGTTGTACAGTAAACTTAGTACCCAAGACAGTGACAGCGTGGTGCACAGTAAACTTAGTACCCAAGACAGTGACAGCGTGGTGCACAGTAAACTTAGTACCCAAGACAGTGACCGCGTGGTGCACAGTAAACTTAGTACCTAAGACAGTGACAGTGTGGTGCACAGTAAACCTAGTACCTAAGACAGTGACCATGTGGTGCACAGTAAACCTAGTACCTAAGACAGTGACAGTGTGCTGCACAGTAAACTTAGTACCTAAGACAGTGACAGTGTGGTGCACAGTAAACACAGTACCTAAGACAGTGACATTTTATGATTATTACTATTGAATGGACTTTTACTTCTCCTGCTTTTTAGCACAGCTTTTCAAAACAGTTTCTTCTTACTTATTTTTTTATTATTACTATTGAATGGACTTTTACTTCTCCTGCTTTTTAGCCCCGCTTTTCAAAACAGTTTCTTCTTTCTTGTCATTGTTTTTCAGTTTTAGAATTCTGCCCCCCCCCCCCCCTCATTCCTTTATGTTACCTACATTGATTGTGATAATCCCCCCTTAATTACTGATCTCCCCTGTATCAAATAATCTCTACCCCATCATGGTTATCTCCCTTCTATCACATCTCTACCCCATCATTGTTATCTGGCCCGGTCCTAACATCTCTATCACTCATTCATTCACTATCCATCAGGAGACAACAGACTTACCATTCAAGTATTCAGTAAGTCCATAATTTTCTTAGCACACTTCTGCATGACCTTCACCTCTCATTCAATTCCTTCATTGAATGTAATTTTTTTCGTTATTACTAAAAAAAATAAATAATGTTACAATCTTAATAAAATCTTTTATTTATCTTGACATGAACGCAGAGCCATTGTGTGGGGCCCCGGATATTTGTGCGGCCTAAAATTGTTATACAGAAAAATGTTTAATTATCAACTTTGAATCCAAGGGTCATGAAATGAAAAGTGGCCGGGGGCTTCCAAAATTCACGCTGTCTGCAAAAAAAGTCTGATTGGTGGCCTTGTTGGTTGAGCTTCTTTAGTTCACTTTGAAGAAAAATTTCCGTAAACCCAATTACCAGACAGCTCTATGAACAGAAAGCTATACAAATTGTTTGGTTATCTTTGAATTAAGTTTTGTTCAAATGAACTTTTCCAAGAATGCAAAATAAAAGAAACAGTCAGTTTTCAAGGGGGGTGGGTGGGTGGGGTTGTGGAGGTGTAATTAACATAATATTTGAAAAATGTGTTTTATAATTGCTTCCCTTGATTAAAAAAAAATCAAAAGTTAACGTTATCTTTCTCTTACTTAAAGTTCAGCTTCCATTATGATTTATCTTTTTACAAAATTTTCATAAGGGTACGTCTTAGTGTGTTTATGGTTACAGTAAGTTTGAATAAGGACATGTTTTTAAGCACTGTAAATTCTCAGTGAGGTTCAACTAAGCATGGAACATAATGGAAGTTTATCATTTGTAAAACACTTTGCAGCCAGGAAAGTGCGATTTGTGAGGTAACTGAATGTCCCATAACGCAGGGGTTCGCCTCATGCAAGAGCTGTTTCTTTTTACACTCCCCCCACCCAGGGACACAACAACACACTTTTTTCGAGGCCACTGAGCTGTATAAATCATCTAATGCCCCATCCCTTATGTAGAGCAGATTTATAGCACCATTTTAAAATTTTAGACAATTTCCATAAAACAAAAATTAATTACTAGGCACCGAAATGCACTTGCTCTATTTTAAGAATCTCATTTAACGCAGTTATTATTATGAGTTTTATTTTGCATGCTATTCCACTCACTGTTACACCATACTTTCGAGGGAATTAGATTGATTGACATGAAAGCAAAATCCTGCGTCTCTGCATTTTTATGTAATCGAATAGATGAAATCTGCGCTTAAATGTAAGCATGCAAAGAGAGTATTGTATAGATCTCTAGTTCCCCTATGGAAGCCATCTGATTGGTCTACGTCAGTGGTTCTCAACCTTCCTAATGCCGCAACCTTTTAATACATTTCTCGTGTTGTGGCGACCCCCCAGCCACAAAATTATTTTCGTTGCCACTTCATAACTGTAGAGTATATCTGTTTTCCGATGGTCTTAGGCGACCCCTGAGAAAGGGTAGTTCGACCCCCAAAGGGGCCCACAGGTTGAGAACCGCTGGTCTGCGTGGACTGTGTTAGTGATGATGGGTGGCTTGAAATATTGTCCCTCTTTGTCACAGCTTACAGGAGAACCACAGACAAAGAGAGATCACTGCATCAGGGAACTGTTTGAGACAGAGAACAACTACAAGACGGCCCTGCATATGATTATTGAGGTGAGGCGAGGCACACGTTATAGGGCAATCAAGCTGGTTACAAAAGACACACATTGACAGAGCAATCAAGTTGGTTACATTGACACACATTGACAGGGCAATCAAGTTGGTTACAAAAGACACATTTACAGGGCAATCAAGTTGGTTACCAAAGACACATTGACAGGGCAATCAAGTTGGTTGCATATGACACACATTGACGGATCAATCAAGTTGGTTACATTGACACACATTGACTGATCAATCAAGTTGGTTACATTGACACACATTGACTGATCAATCAAGTTGGTTACATTGACACACATTGATGGATCAATCAAGTTGGTTACATTGACACACATTGACTGATCAATCAAGTTGGTTACATTGACACACATTGACGGATCAATCAAGTTGGTTATATTGACACACATTGACTGATCAATCAAGTTGGTTGCATATGACACACATTGACGGATCAATCAAGTTGGTTACATTGACACACATTGACTGATCAATCAAGTTCGTTTGCAGTTGTTTATATTAAATAAATATCTCTCAATACTTTAACAATTGTAAAAAATTCCCAAAAGTACCCAAAAAATCGTGCTTTTGTTATGTCCTCACTAGGTGAATTAAGATAAAAGACTTGGCTTGGCCATACAAAATTCTCCCAAATGGATTGCTCATAGATAGCCAGAGGGACATCAGGATAGAATAACACAGCGGCCTTGCTGATGGCATTATTTGATCAATGAATTCATCAGTTTCATTTCTATAGTCATGACGCCTTGCTAAATAATGTGCATTGTCATACTTATCATAATGTCTCATATGCATCCATTAAGGTGTGCCCTGGTTACGGCTTAAATAATGTTTAGAATTTCACTTTAATCCACTCTATATCTCTATATTTTTCAGTATTTTATCAAACCCCTCCACAATATACTTCCTTCAAGTGACAGAGAGGTTATCTTTGCACACATAGAAGTAAGTCCACAGCTATCAGAATAAAATATCTTAAAATTTGTCACTTTTAGTGTTAATAGTAGAAAGTAGTGTGCTTCTTTATACCTAATGTGTATAATGGTCATCTTCCTCTATATTTAATGTGTATAATGGTCAACTTCCTCTATAACTTATGTGTATACTGACCATCTACCACAGCAACTCTATGAAGTCCACAAAGAGCTACATGAAAAGCTAATCAAGTCTGTGAATGAGGGAAGCCCACGGCTGGCCGACGTCTTCATCACATTCAAGACCAAGCTTCTCATCTACGGGGACTACTGCTCGAATCTACCAAAAGCTCAAAGTCGCATTGATAAAATCTGTGAGAATGAACAACTTAGGCTCAAAATTCAGGTTTGCACTGTATGATGTTTGTTAAGTCTAAAATGCTTGATGTTTGTCTGAAGTCAGCAATGTGTGATGTTTGTCTGAAGTCTGCAATGTGTGATGTTTGTCTGAAGTCAGCAATGTGTAATGTTTGTCTGAAGTCTGTAATGCATGATGCTTGTCTGAAGTCTGCAATGTGTGATGTTTGTCTGAAAATAACACTCTCAAATCTTCTGACAATTGAAGTTTTGTAATGCATATTACTCATAATTTCTACAGTGTACTATTCTACTCTATGCTTTTGTGAATTAGATGTGACAAGATTTTTTGTTCTCTGTGAAAACTGGTAACTCTGTTTCTTGTTTGCTTCGAACAGGAATGTGAAAAGAGAGCTAATGAAGGCAAATTCCGATTAAGAGATTTGTTGCACGTCCCGATGCAGAGAGTTTTAAAATATCATTTGCTGATGAGGGTAAGAACATGTCTTCATGCAATAAATGTTTTAGCCTAGAAAATGGCTCAAAGAAATGTGTCCTCTTGTGTCCTGGTCCTTAAATCCCCATTCCTCATTTGTCATGGTCAATAAATCCCCATTGCCCTCGTGTCCTGGTCCTTAATCCCCATTGCCCTTTTGTCCTGGTCCTTAATCCCCATTGCCCTTTTATCCTGGTCCTTAATTCCCATTGCCCTTGTGTCCTGGTCCTTAGTCCTCATTGCCCTTGTGTCCTGGTCCTCATTCCTCATTGCCCTTGTATCCTGGTCCTTATTCCTCAGTGCCCTTTTGTCCTGGTCCTTAATCCTCATTGTCCTTGTGTCCTGGTCCTTAGTCCTCATTGCCCTTGTGTCCTGGTCCTCATTCCTCATTGCCCTTGTGTCCTGGTCCTTAATCCTCATTGCCCTAGTGTCCTGGTCCTTAGTCCTCATTGCCCTTGTGTCCTGGTCCTCATTCCTCATTGCCCTTGTGTCCTGGTCCTTATTCCTCATTGCCCTTGTGTCCTGGTCCTTAATCCTCATTGCCCTTGTGTCTTGGTCCTTAGTCCTCATTGCCCTTGTGTCCTGGTCCTCATTCCTCATTGCCCTTGTGTCCTGGTCCTCATTCCTCATTGCCCTTGTGTCCTGGTCCTCATTCCTCATTGCCCTTGTGTCCTGGTCCTCATTCCTCATTGCCCTTGTGTCCTGGTCCTTAAATCCCATTCCCCCATGGGCCCTGAGGAAACTGTACACAAACAGTGGCACAAGCAAAACAAAAGTCTATGATTATGAAGTGATCAAGATTTGTTCTTTCATTACCATCTATTCTATGATTATGAAATGATCAAGATTTGTTCTTTCATTACCATCTATATCGTCTGCCACCAGTCCATTAATATTATTATAACAAAAGTAGAAATTTATAATAAAACTTATCAAAAGAAAATAAATTGTCCTACAATGGTTGAAGTATAGCATAGGAGACGATCGCTCTCACTGCCCTCATATCCATAAAAACATGGAAATAATTTTGATATATTTTATTTTAATGACATCTTGACATTGTAACAATTGACTGAAACAAAGTGAATGGAGAAACATAGTTAATGGACTGTAATGTACTTGGTTGTTTTGAAATGTCATTGTTACAAGTCAGCAACTCCCCTGTCCTCAAACCAACACACCCCTGTCCTCGCACCAACACACCCCTGTCCTCACACCAACAGACCCCTGTTCTCACACCAACAGACCCCTGTCCTCACACAAACACACCCCTGTCCCTCACACAAACACACCCCTGTCCTCACACCAACTCCTTTTTCATGATTTCACACTAAATGTGTTCTGCATATTTCAGGAGTTGATAAAAAACACAGACAAAGGCAATAGTGAAAGGGAAGGTCTGGAGCAGGCTTTAGAGGCCATGCAGGTAACAATGTCCCCTGGACATATTAATCCACCTATTTCAGGGGCAGGGGGTTTGGTTTGGCCCTTTCACTTAATGCTTAGGTTTAGTATTACTCCACCTATGGGGACCCCACTCATTTAATGCTAAAGTTTAGCTTTACTCCACCTATGGGGACCCCATTCATGTAATGCTAAAGTTTAGGATTACTCAACCTATGGGGACCCCATTTATTTAAAGCTAAAGTTTATGGTTACTCACAGCCATTCATTTAATGCTAAAGTTTAGTATTACTCCACCTATGGGGACCCCATTCATTTAATTTTTAAGTTTAAGATTACTCCACCTATGGGGACCCCATTAATTTAATGCTAAAGTTTAGTATTACTCCACCTATTGGGACCCCATTTATTTAATGCTAAAGGTTAGTGGGGGGGGAGGGGGGATGGGACATTCCATCAATGCTGGAATACAGGATTATTTTAACTACGGGACTCCAATAACTCTATAGTTATTTTCTGTTACTGAAATGTAGTATAATAAAACCTGATATCAAAAGAGATTTAGTTGTTAATATCATTAGAGAAGAATATTTGCATTGTCCTGCCAAGCTCACAAGATGTTGTGTTTCACATTAATGACGCTATCTTCTAATGATGGATTCTCCTAGGATCTGTCTCTGTACGTCAATGAAGTGAAAAGAGACCATGAAAGTTTGACATTGATTGAAGAGATTCAAGAAAGGTTAGTATCCTGTTGCAGTTAGACGGTGCCATGCTGCACTTTAAACAGTACCCTGTTGAAGTGGGATGGTGGCCCGCTATGATTTTAGCAGGTCCCTATTGTAGTAGATGGTGCCCTGCTATGATTTTAGCAGGTCCCTGTTGTAGTAGATGGTGCCCTGATAGTTAAAAAGTGCTAGCAGACTAAAAATTAGCCAGAACTAAGTATTGATTTGTTTTGTACATTAGCATAACACAATTTTGATTTCTGTTGTACATAAGCATAACAAAATTTTTTTCTTTCTTGCTTTCCCCAGCATAAATGACCTGAAAATGGTGAGTTGAGTAAATACTGTTTGTGTTTGTTTGTAGGAGAATTAATAGATGCTGTTTAAGTGCCTGCATTGTTTGTGAAGCGTTGAGCATGTTTGATCTAAAGATAAGGACATTTGCTTTGATTAATTCTGATTTGAGACCTAAAAAAATCACAGTGTTATGCCCCACAAACTGTTTAATGCAAACGTGCTTTGGTGTCAACGCTTTTTTTTTGTTCACAGTAACTTCCATACTTATAACTAAAATACACTAGGCTAACAGAAATGGAATCCAGCAACCCATATAAGTATAGATATTTGTAGAGGAAATTGGACAAAGATTGATAGGGTAGGAATATTTGCATTCAGTGAGGTGTGTGAAATGACTAAGACCGTGACCTCTCAGCCATGAGTTTAATTGTGCTACTGTGTATCTTTTGTTCTTTCACATTTTTATCATCTGAACATGTTTTTCAGAAAACAATATTCTTTCAGTTTTAGAACATATAAAGTTATTTGGGTTTCTAGAGATAAAAGTAAATAAATTAAAAAAATTCATTGGTGACCTGCATATTTCATAACATGAATGCCTATTAAATTCATTAGTACCTTATTCTCCACACCTTCCAATATTAGAACTTGAACTGTTACTAGTTCTAGTTTTACTATTACTAGTTCTAGTTTTACTGTCTTAATTATCACTACCATGAGATGAGCAAAGCGAACAAAACTATCTTCAAAATCACTTCCACAAAGAAATAATTCAAATAAATTTGACTTTTGTTAAAGCAGTACCAACATCTGACTCCCACAAAAACTTTTTAACTAAAAACCACCAAAAATTTAAGCTCAATTCAAAATTTAAAAATAAAAAAAAAATAAATGAACACATGAAATATTTACCTTAGTTTTCCATAAGAAGGGGGAGTAAATCAAGGTTTTAAATAGTTATCCCAATAAACAGTTTGTGGGTTAAAACATGTAGTTTATATTTCTCAAGTTATGACTAGTGTAATTGTTAAAGGTTGACACCTACCATGATTAATGAGTGGTTTACCTAGTGATGTGTTGCACAAAATTTTTCATGTGTGTTTGCAAGTTTTTCACTTTAAAGAGATACAAACCAATCTCAGCTCGGGAACAGTCATATTATTACATTTTATATGCAATTTTCATCCAAAGTATGAGTAATATAATGCATCTAACATAATTATAATATTATCATGGACGCTACTGCTTACTGAAACTCATTATTTTACCTCCATTCTTGATTGGTGTGTCACAGAATTGTTGGAATTAGTTCAAGGGTGTTAAAAAGTAAAAATATAAATAATTTAAGAGTCAACAGGAAGTTATTAGAACTGGATTGAACTCAGCAATGTAAACAGAGTAAAGTGGTGAGTTACTGAGTTGAAATTGTTGCCTTGCAGCCCCCTAACACGTCGTTAAAAGATTATGGGAGATTCCAGAAAGATGGTGAACTCAAGGTTCTCTCCCATGAAAATAGTCGCACGCGAAACAGGTCGGTAACATCTTGTAAATTCAGTCATTTTGAAAATTCCTGATGATCTCTTTCTTAAAACTATTTATCAGAGTGAACTTTTTATTTTTTTCTTGCTTTTTTTTAAAAATCTATTTATCTGAGTAAACTTTTTATTTGTTTCTTGTGTTGTTGCTGTTCTTCTTAAATTAAAAAAAATATTTTTTTTTAAATTTAATTTCATGATTTAAATTTTGACTTTTTTAATATTTTTTTCATCATCATTTTGGCTTCTTATGCAGTCACTGACACTGGACCACATCACACACACTGGACCACATCACTGACACTGGACCACATCACACACACACACTGGACCACATCACACACACACACTGGACCACATCACTGACACGCACACTGGACCACATCACTGACACACACACTGGACCACATCACACACACAATGCAACACAACACCGACACTAACTTGACCACATCACACTCACTGGTCCACATCACTGTCACTGGACCACATCACACACACACTCGACCACATCACACACACACACTGGACCACATCACTGACACGCACACTGGACCACATCACTGACACACACACTGGACCACATCACACACACACTGGACCACATCACTGACACTGGACCACATCACACACACACACACTGGACCACATCGCTCATACTGGACTGAATCACACACACTTGACCACATGAAACGCACTAGACCATACTATACACACTGGACCATATCACATACACTAGACCACATCACATACACTGGACGACATCGCACCGATATATTCATTTAGCTTTTGCATACAAAGTTATTTTCCTACAAATGACATACAAATGACAAAGCAAGCACTCCAATGCAATGTCAAAGTTCATGCTGTATTCACATGTTGGTTGTAACATTAACAACTCTGCACACAAAACAAAGAGACATCGCAGGGATTTGAGGAAAGCATTTGTTTTCCTTGATTTAAGAAAAACAACAACAACTTCTGGGCATGTGTCTCTGGGGAGAGACATTAAGGCCTTAGCCATGAACACACTGATGGTACAGTGACACATACCAGACTCCACAGAATCCAACACGATTACATTACAGAACACTTGATGGGACCCAGAACTATTTTTTTTTTTAGGCTTTAGTGCTATTTAGATTTTGTTGTTTCAAATAAGATTCTGCACTTAGACCTTATAAGACATTGTCATTACAGATTAGATGCTATCGGCCGATCAGAGAAGAGGTAACTCTTATGGGCACTCTTTGAACTAAAACACTTTTCTAACACATCCATGAAAGCTGATCATAGCCCAACTATGGTCCTCCCGCTTAAAAATATAAGCTTAAAAATGATCTCCATTTTATCCAACCGTTATTGAATATAAAGAGCGTCGAAAATAAGAACGGCTGGTGGTTTAATTTAAATCCATTTTTTAACATAAATTAACATGACGTGGTCCCTTAGGATTTTATAGATATTTTTTCTGTATCTTTAACACCTGGCTTTCAATTATCAATTTACTTATTTATGTAAACCTTGTTTTTACTTTATACACCATTTTTTTTCTCCACTTATTATTCTTTCCACTCATTATTCTTTCTACTCTTATTTTCTGTAATATTTCTATATTTCCACTAATCACTCTAACTGGCTTTGATTAACAAAAATGGATAATTGTAGCTTTCTGGTTTCTAGGCCATGAGTAGATAAATAATCATACATGGCAGTATTTTGGTGGCATTCTAGGGTTTAACCAAATCTGTTACTCTTTTAAAAAGTGCGTTTTTTTATGCTTGTTTTTGGATGGGATCCTACTTTTTTAAATGATTACTAAGGACATTAACAGATCACAATTAAAAACTTTTATCCGAAACAAATTACATTAGAAAAAAATTAAGTAGGAACATTCGAGAGTTTGAAATATACAAGGACATTATGAAGACCACAAAGTTTGTTGACAAGTACTATTAATGATGAGACAATAGTAATGTCACAAGGTATAACAATCAATTAAATATATAAGAATGAGCCAAGGTTTCCATATAACACTGAAAACATGAATCAATTTAAATACGTCCTGATGCTTAAATCAAAGTTAGGGGTATTCTAATTTTTTGCATAAATTGAATAAATCTAGATATGATTAAAAATGAAATTTGTGCTTATATTTAAGTAAATGTTTAAGTATTATTATTATATATTGGAAAATAAATGTGAAATAATGATTAAAGAACTATTTTAAGTATTTTATCCTAATTTGAAAGTTAATATATTCTTTTTATTATCAACAAATTATCATCTATGTAATACCATTATTGATTTGTATTCACATTTATTGGGAATACCCAAAAATCTGTGGTTTCTATTGGGTTGTTAATAATGCAAAATTAAATTTAAATTTATGTTACACAAATGTCTTCAAACAATATCAAATTAAAATTACCAATTGAACTCAAATGAAGAAAAATTAAAATAATTTTTTAAGAACTAATTTTAAAATCATCAATGCAAAGCTTTAATTTTTCTTGAGTTAATAATGTGACAAAACTGATAATGTACTCTACCCTTTTTAAAAATAAAATTCATAAATATAATTGATTGCTTTTTAAATTGTTATTACCCCTCACCAAATTTTAGCTTTGTATTTTTAACATTTAATTGGTTTTACTTCCAAAAATGTGCTTTTATCAAATGTATAAAGTAATGAAAACTTAACATTTAAAAATACTTTTAATAAGAAAATGCTTTTTAAGCCAATGAGTGTCGCCAATCTACATAGCCTAATACCACCCACTAATTCACTTATCACTCATTCAAATAAGAAAGAATCACTCATTCAAATAAGAAAGAATCACTCATTCAAATAAGAAAGAATCACTCATTCAAATAAGAAAGAATCACTCATTCAAATAAGAAAGAATCACTCATTCAAATAAGAAAGAAACATAGGAAGTTGCAAAGATACCAATATCTCAAAAGCCAATTATGTAACAGAATTGACATATGGATTTTAAAGTTAAAATAAATAACCATACTATTGCAATATATGGCATAATGCGTAGAAATATATTTTTTTATGAAAATGTAAAATAAATGGTGGTAAAAGTGATCTGGGACTTGAGAAATTTAATAAAGTTCAGAGGCGCTAAAAAAATGTGTTGTTGCCGACATAGGGGGCTACCATCCCGTGGACGATGTTATTAATGTGGCGGGAGG